TGTCAATTCCAGCAACCCTCTTCAACACCATTTGCTTGAACTAATGTCTTTGTCCTTAAGTGCATGAGGACCCCCTTGGAGTCCCTGTCAATCACTCACTGCCAGTTCTCACAGGCAGACTTGGATTATCTGTCCAATTGCCTGTATATTTGTGAGCTCAAACATCTGAACTTGAGTTCTGTATTTTTGTGTGATTTATGCCCTATTCCTATTGGAGTTGTCCTTGAGTCACAGCTACACTTGTCTGTTGAAAATTGGTGTTTTCTTGGCTGTGTCCTAAAGTGTCTGTCTACAATGACAAACATTGAGCACCATCTACTCATGTCCCCATGCTGTTGGATCATTCTGAAAGATTATCCAAATACCTCAGATTATAGGTAAGTGTATGGCAACTTTAGATTATCACAAAACAAATACAATGAAACAAACAAAAAGTGTAAAATAAGTGTGGGTAGTTAACAATCAATAAAGTCATTAGAATGTTTTTACATATTTATATTATAAGTATGATATAAAATATTTACCAAGATGTGTGTATGTATGTGCATGTGTTTGTTTAATGCTTAATACAGACATACACTTTTTTCATTTGAACCATGAATAGTTAAATCCTTCTTTGCAGAACCTGTGGATAAGAGGAGGGTTAGGACATGGGGCTGCTGTTATTCATCTTAGTGTTCATACAAGGAATGTGGTCTGTGTTCTTAGAAGTGATGATTCCTGGAGAAGGCCACAGCTGTGGCATATTCCATGTGCTTATAAAAGATCAAACATGGCACCAGAGAAAAGAGCACTAGGTAGGCAAAGACAAAGAAAAAAAGGAAGAGAGCTAAAGCCAGAAGGAAGCTAAGGTTCCTGATGAGCCAAGTACTGACTTCAGACTTTGGCATTGTTTTCAACTGAGAGTCAGAAGATGGACATTTAGCATCACGGAGAGCTAGATTCCTCAGGTTTAGAAGGGACATGTTGGGGGCAATACTAGTTAATGTAGGGATAGGAGAGGGATCAGCATCCTGGCTTTTCCAAGGTTCCCTCCTACCTCAAGTCCTTTTTCCGGTGTCCCCTTGAAGAAAGTGCATTTGTTGAACTGTGCTGGGAGCAAATGTCTCTGGTAGAAGAAGCAAATGGTGGGAGGCCTGCTAGGATTCCAAGGGAATTCCCTTCCCACGCCTCACTACAGCTTCACCTCTAAATTTCCCAAAATGTGATTGCCATTAAATTCCTTTCTTCTCTGTTAGTTAAGTGGACATACCACTTCATAAATCGAGAGGCTCCTAGCCTCTCAATAAGCTGCAAGATCCATTATATCCATCTATCTCGAGTCTTCTAATGTAGAGCTATTCAAAGTATTTTCTGCAGCATATGTGGGAGAAAGAGCTGAGGCTTCACCTTGCCCTGACTAGAACTTCAGCCCTAGGGGCCTCCTTTACTTCCCATGGCTTGTCTCTTCCACCTCTACCTCTGTCAAGAATGTGACCCCCGACTCTATCCCCTACAGACAAAGAGAAGCTTAAACCAGGATTCCTAAGTGTAGATAAGAACTTAGACCCCTTTTCCCCAGGTAGCTGTATCTGCTACAGAGACTTTGAAAAACACAGAGTCAGGATATTTGACCAAAAGACTAAAAAAAGGGAGGCAGGTTGAAAACTAGCCTTACAAAGAAAGGGGAGCATTCCTTCCAACCTCAATGCTGTGCATGAGAGATTTGGAACAAGCCTCCCTTAGGAGCCTCTCTGTCAAGCCTCCTCCCTGCCAAGGTTTGTAAACTTAGAATTTGCATTCTGTACCTAAAGTCTCCAGTGGCGGCTTTGGGAGTGCGATCTGGGCATAACACAGGCCAGTTTGGGTTATAGAGATCCTGTCTCAAAACCAAATGGGATGGAAATATGGTGGCACACGCCTTTAATCTTAGCACTGGAGATAAAAGACCCAGACACAGTTTCCCCAGAAACCCAAAAGAGCTGAGGAAAGAGATATCTTAAAAATGAGTCAGTTCCCCCTCCCTGGAGAGGGTGAAGTCAGATGTTTTCAAAAGAACAAAGTCAGGATGTCTGATGGTAACCAATTAACCACGAGATGCCCCTCTCCAGAGATAACATGACCAGACCCCGGAGAGGAGTTGTAAAACTCCTTACAGGGCAAACAGACAAGCTAGAATAAGTTAAAGTCCAGGCCCAGGAAAAACTGGACCAATCAAGGATGGACCCGTACTAACCCCCTCCCCTCTAAGAAATTTTATGGGTTTTGCCATAAAAACTAACTTCCCCAAGAAAGAGTAACTCTTCCCTGCCTCGCTGCCAGTGAGGACTTGAAATGAGTTCCCTGTCATGACTTGCAGCAGAAGTAAACCTTGCTTTTGCATTCTGGTATGCTTGTCCTTGGTGGTCTCTCTGGGGGTTATGATCTGGGCACAACAAAGACCTTTCAATTCCATCATTTACTGATGAAGCTCTTTTCCCAGGCATAGCTCAGGGATTTCTGGAGTGAAAGAGTGTCTTAAATTGCACAAGAAATATTCTAACAGAATCCTATAGCTTCTAACATCCTTTCTATGAGAATAGAGTTTTCTTGTATGTTTGATATGTAAAATCTCAATGTTGGCAGGGATTATTGCTATTGTTTAGATTTGCAAAAGTCTTATTTATATTACTCTTACCTACCCTGTTTTTTTTTTTGTGTGTGTGTGTGTGCGTGTGTGTGTGTGTGTGTGTGTGTTGAATGTGTGTCTATGTATGAGTGTTTGTAGGCATCAAGATAAAACATCACGTGTGTGGAGGTCATAATACAACTTGGTGGAGTTTCTTCTCTCCTTCCAAATACATGGATTCAGTGGATTTAACTGAGTTCAACTTTTGGCAGCAAGTGATTTTAACCTCTCAGTAATCTTCTCAGCTCAAGGCAGGGGGCTTTGAAACCCATCAGAGGTTGACAATTGTGCCAGATTTCAGCTGGACACATTGTTCTACACCTATAATCTTAACACATTGAATTTGGAGATGACAGGGTTTTGCATTTCAGGTCAAGTAAGTCTATATAACAAGGACCTGTCTCAAAACAAAACAGACAAACATCAGACATGTCCATTTTGGTGGTTCACACCTTAGATCTCTGTAGCACAAACCTTACTTCATTATTATAATAAAAACACATAGTCAGATATAGGGGTAAATGCTAAAAGATCAGAAAAGTGAAGGAACTAGCCACAGTCACTTCTTATCTCTGTCCCCACAGACTGTGAAGGGCCAAGCTCCTGTCTCTACCCTACCTTATCACTTCCTCTCTCTGCCCAGCCATATTACATTCTGTCTCTGGTGTGTATAGACATCCTGACCTGTATGGTTAATTAGTGGCTAGCTCCAACCTCTGATCTTCAGGAATGCTTTACTTGCTAGAGCAAAACAAAATATCACTACATTTTCTTTTTTGTCTAAATTAAAAAAAGAAGATCATAGCTAAGGGAAGAAAAACTATATACAATAAATACAATAATTATACACAATATTAGGCAATTATTATATAAATATTGTCTAGTTAATTAAAATTTGACAAAGTCAGAGAAAATACTCCATTATCTATGTTCTCTGGATGAGTCCAAAGAGAACCTTATTCATTTTCTATGCTAGCTTTCATTACCAACCCAAAACCATTTTGATGTCTCTCAACCCTGTACACTGTACGCTTATTCAGTTTCTTGTCTGAAATTGTTAACAAGGAAAACTATAAGCATAAGCACCTAGTCTTCAACTCCATCAGAGACCTGAGAAGGAATAACCATTACCCTAGTAAACAGGATCTGCGAGCAAGCGACTTCCAAAAAATGTGAGAAATGACAGAAACAACTTACTGCTTAGAAATTCACCCAATGTTCCTCTGTAACACTGGGACATCCTCCTTTGGCCTACAGGCCTAGAATAACTGACAGACATTTCTGTGAAACAGCATAATCTGAAGGGCTGTACTACTTTGTCTTGGGAAAGTTTGGCAGTCCATTTCTTTTATTTCCAATTTGAACATTATATGGTCAGCAATCAAGGGAAGGGCTTTTTCTTACCCAGTGGCTAATTTTGCCACAAAGAACATAAACTCCATATGGAGTTTCTTCCATGCTCATCATCTTCTCTGAACTAGATTGGTGCTGCCAGGAACAGACATGTCTCATAGTCATAAAAAAAAAAAAAAACTTATGTTCTTAAATGCCATAAGTTCTAGATTTCTGAAGTATTTGAAGACTGTAGTTCAAAGTTTTCTCTGGTTCCATCTGGCCACATGGTCCCACAGCTGCTTATAAAATAGTCATTCAGAGGCTTAATATCATTTAATATCATTTACAAACTGCCTGGACTATAACAGGCCTCTTGCTAGATAGCTCTTTTATCTTAAATTAACCAATTTCCATTAGGGTATGATTTGCCATGTGTTCTGTGGCTTTACCAATCTGCTGGCATGTTCCTCAATGGGCATTAGGCTAGTGTTTCTCCAGGCTCTCCCTTTTTCTTTCCTGTCTCTTTCCTTGGATTTCTCATATGCCTCTAAACTGCCTTGCCATAGGCCAAAGCAGAGCATTTATTAAACAATGGCAACAGCATATATTCACATCATACAGAATGACATTCCCCAGCACTTTTCTTTCTCTATATAATCAAAAAGGAAGGTTGTAGATTTAATATTATAAAACAATATATAACAAACAATTATCAAGCAAAAATTAGTTACAATACCTAATGTATCTGTATTTGGAAAAATTAAAGAAAACATTTTATTAACTATCTAAATTTGTGAGTCTAAAGTTTTATATCTATTTTATCTTTTATCATAGACATGAAAAACTATAACTATCGGTATTCAACTACATCAAAGATCTCAGGATATAATATAACCTAAGTAAACAGGAAGTGCTTTGTAAGCAACTTCCAAAATTCTGGAAGAGACAGAGAGAGTTGACTATCTGGACAGTCGCCCAAAGTTCTTCTGCAACATTAGGGCCTACAGGCATAGCATACCTGACAGACTCCTCTGTGGAGCAGGAATTTCTGTAGGGCCTTCTTACCCTGTTATCGCAAGGATCAACAGTCCTTTCTTTTGTGCCCTGCTTGCCCGTATTAGACAGCATAATGTCAGCAGTAGAGGCAAGGGCATTTTCATGTCCTGTAGATGTAACCAACCATCTTATTAAATAAGAAACACAGAACCAATGTAAAAGAGAAAGCCAAGAGGTCAGAGCTCAGAGCTAAAATCTCACCCTTCCTGCTGTGGTCATCCCAGCTTCCCGAAAGAGAGCTATTTCCCTGTGTGTAAGTTGTTTCATAATCATTCTGCCTTCTCATTGGTTGTAAACCCAAACACGTGACTGCCTCGTCACTGTCTGAATGTACAGCCCCCTAGGTCTTAAAAGCATATGTCTCCAATGCTGGCCGTATCCCTGAATACACAGAGATCTATGGGATTAAAGGCGTGTGCCACCACCGCCACACTCTGTCTATGGCTCTAATAGCTCTGACCCCTGGGCAACTTTATTTATTAACATACAATCAAAATCACATTTCAGTACAATTAGAATACCACCACAATGTCCAGTGGCTAACTTTTGCCAAAAAAGAATGTAAACTCCATATGAAGTTTCTTCAATGCCCATCATCTCTGAAGTAGATTAGAGCTGTCAGGAGAAGACATGTCTCATTGTCATTAAACACAAGAAGAAAAAATCTATTTTATTAAAACGTCTTAAATTCTGTAGATCTCTGAAGTCTCTGAAGATGACCTGTATATCTAAAATATGTTTTTGCTTTACCTTGAAAACATACCTAATATGACTACAAGTTTGATTGTAATGACTAACTACTAACCTGCATTTCTTTATTATATTAAATTGTTCAAAATAACTTTCAAGGACTAGAAAATTGCATTATATTGTTAAATGAACTGAATAAGTACAGTAAATTGAACAAGATTAGAAACATATTTACAGTGTTTTCTAGCAAAATCAATATTAAATTTGTATCAATATACATAATTTGTGTGTTATATAAAAAATTCTCTCCAATGTAAAATATTTATAATTAGTAGTTGCTTATTAAACATAGATTCAATTATCTACCTTTTTATCTTGTCATATCCATATTCTCTCTTTTTTTATTTTCAGAGTAGATTCAAAAATCTACCTCTTATCTATATCCTCTTTTTTTTTCTAAACAACAACCCTGGATCTATCTAATCTCCTTGTTTAGCTTTCTTCCCCAACCATTATCAGTTGACAACTTGTAACTAACCATCCTAAACAATGGCAATTATCCATAACCCATTGAAAGACCAAAAAGACCCATCCCACCTTTTGCAAATGTGGGTGTCGTGTTCTTAAAATTACTTTCTGCTGTCTGGGGGTTACAGCATCTTTAGGGGATCCTGAAAAGAAAAAGAAAAAAAAACTGGGGTTAACTGTCAAGTCCGGGAAGAGGTACCTGCATCATTTTTTGTCCAGTGTCTGCATATGTGTATGTGCAGGGATTTTTCTCAAGTCCTTTCTTGAGTAGTCTGTGAGACTGGATCATTTCAACTATCCAACTTGAAATTATCCTAAGCAGGTTATAGTACAAAGCTGATTTTTGGGTCATGTTTTTTTAGCTTAATGGTATTATTACTGTCCTGCTGTAAATGTTGTTGTGGAGACTCATCATCATTTTGGAGACTTCAGAGTCACTGTTAGATATGGTCATAGCTCCCTTCAGAAAACTGATAGAGTCTCAAACCACAAATAATTTTTACAGGAATTAGTTATTACTCTATGTGACCATTAATATTATGACAAAAGTTTAAAATATATGTATATAAATCCTAAGGTACACATTTTATATCAAAATAAAACCAAAGAATTTGGAATTCACTTGTGTGTACTTCCTGTTTACTAAGTTAATAGTATTTCCTTCTCAGGTCGCTGAGGGAGTTGAAGATTAGATAGCTATAGCTATAGTTTTCCTTGTTAAGACATTGAGAAAAAATCCAATAAAGAGGTATAAAGTATAAGTTTGAAAGATATGAAAAGTTAGATTTGATTGATAATGCAAATAGGATAGAATGTGAAGTAGATATAATCCTTTGGATTCAAAAGATAGGATAGATAATGGAGTATTTTCTCTGAGGTTGTTAAATGCAAATGGACTAGACACTGTAGATGTATTTATTGCATATATATAATTATTGTACAGATTATGTATAGTTTTTCTTATATTAGTTAAAAACTTTTCAAATTTCAGACAAAAATAGGGAAATGTGGTGATATTTTATTTGTACTCTAACAAATAAAGCTTGTTTGGAAATCTGAAGGAGGAGCTAGCCACTAGTTAACCACAGAGGTCTGGATGTCTGTATAGACAGACAGGAAATGATAGAACTGGGTGGAGAGAGTAAGTGATAGGCAGTGTGGAGAGAGGAGCTCACTCTTTTTTATGGTGGAGGATTTCATAGGGGTACGAAGTAGAGGCTTGCTGCTCTCCCTCTCTATTCTTTCAGCTTTTAATCCAATATCTGACTCTGGATTTTTTATTAGTAATATTGTTTAGCAATTTGTGTTATACAAAATCACCTCTCTATCTAAAGCATATCTCTGTTTGACTTTGAAAACTTTTCTAAAATACTAGTTTGATTGTAGTACAATACTAACTGCTAAACTGCAATTCTTTATTATTCTAAATAGTTTGTAATAATAACTTTCAAGGACTAGAATTTTTCATTATATTGTTAATGAACTCTAGGTACAATAACTTGAAAAAGAGTAGAATTGTATGCACATTATGTTCTAACAAAATAATGTTAAAATTGTATCAATATATAAAAAACAAGCTAATGTAAAATATTTAAATATAATTGCTTTTTTGTTTAAATATAGATTCATTAATCTACCCTTTTATCATATCATATCTATATCCCCCTTTTTTCTTCTCAAAATAAGAACCCTGAATCTAATCTCCTTTGTTCAGCTGTTTTCCTGACCATTACCAAAAACAACTTGTAACCAATTATTCTAAACAATGACAAATATCCATAATCCACTGAATGACCAAAACCACCTACCCATCTCTTAGGAACATGGGTGTCATGTTCTTAAAAATACTGCTGTATTGCGGTGACAGCATCTTTAGGGGACCCTGAAAATTTGGCTTAATTGTCCAGTCCTTGGAGAGCTAGATGTATCATTAGTTGTCCAGTCTCCACACAACTGGAAAATGCAGTGCTAATTGGTCTGTTAGGTTAGATCATCTCACCTTGTCACCTTGAATTTGTCCTGAGCAGTTTGTAATTCAAAGCTGATCTCTGGGTGGTATTTGTCAGCTTTGTGGCATTATCATAGTTCTGGTAGAATCATTATGGGGTCCCATCCTCCTCTTGGAGACTGCAAAGATCAGTTTTAGGCATTGTCTTGGTTCACTGCAGAAAACTTAAACATGTTAATTGTCATATGCATAAGTTCTCAAAGAGGTTAATAGATCAATATCTGTTTTGTACTTCCAGGGTGCACAAACTTAATTCTCAGTAGCCTGATTGATCCTCAAACTGAAAATCATCTACAGGAAGCTAGATGAAGCTTTTATCAAGAGTTAGTACTCTATATGACAATTAATATCATGACACAAAGTTTAAAATATTGTGGTGATATATTGGGTTCCCCAATAAAGCTTGATTGTGTATCAGAGGACAAAGGCAACCACTAAAAATAGACAGAGGTTAGGCGGTGGTGGCACACACCTTTAATCCTATCACTTGGGAGGCAGAGGTCCATCTGGATCTCTGTGAGTTCAAGGCCACACTGGGAGCAGAGCCAGGCATAGTGGCACACACTTTCAATCACAGCAGTGAGATCAGATGTCTTTTCTTGGGAAGGACACATGTCTTTAATCCTAGGAAGTAATATGGCAGAACACTGAAATGTATATTAGGCATGAGGAAACTGGAACTCTTTTCTTGAGACTGAGGATTTTGTAGAGGTAAGAACTTGTGGCTGGCTTGCTCTGCTTCTCTGATCTTTCAGCTTCACCCCAATGTCTGGCACTCAGTTTTATATTATAAGACCTTTTAAGATTCATGTTATATCTCAAACAACTTTTGGTGCCCAATGTTTGTGGCACAAGTTCACCAAAAAGCCACTTGCCTATGGCCTTTCTGTTTCCAGTCCAGGCCTGAGCTGCAGGAGGCTGGTTGTGGTGATGCATGCTCATAGGATTTGGGACTGGCTGTGAGACACAATTCTGCCACACATACAATTGATATTGCTCCAAACCACAATGTAGGCTCTTAAAATTTTCTTCAGTAAAACATGACCATGCCTAACAGCAACTTTGAAGTCTCTAAAAACATCCCACAATGACGATTCCATCCGGATAATGATAATACCACTAAGATGGCAAATGCCACCCAAAGATTGGCTTTTGTCTACACACTGCTCAGGACAATTTCTAGCTGAGATGATCTAGACTCACAGACTACTTGACCAGAGACTTGAGATAATCCCTTCATTTTCCCATTATTCAGAGACTGGACAACAAATGATACAGCTACCTCTCCCAGGACTTGACAGTTAACCCCAAATTTTTCTTTTCAGGATCCCCTAAAGATGCCATCACCCTCAGGCAACAGGAAGTAATTTTAAGACAAATGACACCCACATTCCCATAAGGTGGAATGGGTCATTTTTGGTCTTTAAATGGGTTATTGATATTTGTCATTGTTGAGAATGGTTGGTTACAAATTGTTAATTGATAATGGTCAGAAAAAAATCTAAACAATGGGGATTAGATTCGGGATTCTTGTTTGAAAAAAAAGAAAAAGAAAAAAGAAGAGGATATAGATAAGAAGTAGATTGTTGAATCTACTCTAAAAAATATAGAAATGATAGGACAACGGGGTAGATGATTGAATCTACTCTAAAAAATTGAAAAGAGGGAATATGAATATCATAAGGTAAAAAAGTAGTTTATTTAATCTACTCCAAAAAATATAGATATAAGATAAAGAATAAATTATTGAATCTACTCTAAAAAGAAAAAAGAGAGACTATGAATATGAGAAAATAAAAAAGTAGATTATTGAATCTACTTTTAAAAAGCAATATTAGTTTTAAATATTTACATTGGAATGGATGTTTTTATATTGTATAAAAATTATGTATATTGATACAAATTTGAGATTGATTTTGTTAGAAATACTGTACATATATTTCTAATCTTGTTCCAGGTATTCTAGGTATACAAACTTATTAAGTTTGGAGTTCTTCCATTTGAAAAATGTGATATTTACATGGGATTGTTTGAATCTTGTTTTCTAGTCCCTCCCCATCACCACCCTCATAGTCTGAAGGTAGATTTTTCTCTTGATAAAGGAACAAAAAATTGAATATCTTGTTTGTAAATTGGTATCTGGTAACTAGTGGTAAACTTGAAATGGTAGAATTCTTTAAAGCCTAATTCTAGGTAGCCTTAGGAAAATGTATCTTAATTATTTTTGAACCTGTATTCACCTTGTTTTTTTTTCAAATATCTTAAGTTATATTTTCTTTTTCA